CTTTGGGCAACGGGGTCTAGTGGAGGGTGTCCCTGCCCGCAGCAGGGGGGTGAAACTAGATGGCCTTTGAGGTCTTTTCCAACCCAAACCATTCTATGATTCCAAATGTTACTATTTCTATATTATGGACCAAAGCACTGCTAGTGCTATGAATAATGTCCCCAGAAAAAAGCTGCAGTAAGTTTAGACTAATCAGATACGTGTGTGTATATATATATGTATATATCCATACACACAGGTACATCATGATCTATATGACATACACAAGTATACATATATATACACATGTATCATATATTTTAATTGGTATGCATATATATGTATTTATGTACCTTTATTATTTATGGATCAAAAAGTGTAATCCTTTCTTTGATTAAGGCCAAAATAAATTGAGAGTCCTATCTTATTTTTGATTTGTTAATTTTACCTGTTCCCTTTTATCTTACCAGCTTTTGACTCATACTTCAGTTTCTCCACAAACTTTTCCTCTATTAAACATTTCTCATTACTACTTAAGTATTTCAGATCTATCTCTGCTTTTTTCCCAGCTAATCTTTTTTTTTCCCCCTCCCACTGCCTTGTACCTTGGATTCTAGAGCAGTAGGCAAGTGGAAAATCAGTCTGGGTCTAAGAAGCAGGGTGGGTCATTCTCTTTCTGTGAAATGTAGAAATAGACCTTTGTGCAAATGCATACTGCTATTTGATATTTTTGTTATCGATGTCAAACATATTCTGGGATATTTTATCCTACAACCCCCTAACTTCTTGTATTTTCTTTCCACTTTTGATTCTTGAACTTACTCTTTTAGATATTCATTACTGCACATCCCAGTTTCATGACAATCATATTTTAGGCAGGTATTCATTCTAATTTTAAGCATAAACTTTAGGTTCTTAGGAATACACTTACATTACATATTTAGCTGGTTCAGAACAATGGGTTGAAGCCATAACTCACTGTGTAAACTGAGACTGGAGACTCTTTAAGACCTCTGGGACCATTCACTCTGAGAAGAGTGAATTCCACCTACCCTAGGCCTATATGCTATATAAATAAACATAAGGCTTTGTAGCTGACTGCTACTGTATGTGGTTTGTCTCGACATTGCCGCCGCGCCGCCACTTTCCTGCGATGACATCCTGCCTCGGAGGACGCTGCCTTCGTGGTCTGCGGATGGGTGCCGCCTTTGCGCATGCGCAAGAGCCAGGGCACGAAAAGGCTTCCTGAGGAGGCAACATGTACCGCACGTGCTGCACGAACTGCATCTACGCAGCCGCAATCTGTGCATGAGGGTGGGACCCCATATAAAGGAGCGCACGTGCTCTGGTAAAGGGGGCTTTTTCTCCTTCTTCCTCTACTCCTCGCGTATTTTCCAGGACCTGCTCCGACAAAACCTGCGACACTTGGACACCATAGAGGGAGCTAACGGGACATCACTGGACTCGGAGTGGTGGTAATTAGACTTGTTCCCGACTTGGTCCCTCCCCCTCTCTATCTCCCTCTCTCCTTCTCTCTCTCTCTCTCCTTTGCTTTTCCCCGCTCTCCTGGTCGTCTCTTTATATATAGTTCTTTTCTCCCTGTTCATAAAAAATAAAGCTGAAAGGTTGTATGACATCTGACCTCGTTTGTGTCTTAATCTCGCTCTTGGGATCGTATCGAAACATCCCCAATACTGGATTGGGACAGGCTTTCCCATCAGCAATGCATATTTTTATAGCATTTATAGCATTTTTACCCAGACAATTCCAACTGGCAAAATACTCTCTTCCAAGAGGGGAGGAGGAAAAATATGTAAAGTGCCTGCACTGTAAGCTGCACAGGAGTTTGTTGTTAAGTAATACTATGCTCTGTTATCCTTCTTCCCACGCTGATCATCTTGCAAATATATGTTTGACTATGGATAGTGAGATCAGTATATTTACAAAGCCAAAGCCCAAAGCTCAAGTCTAGGCTTAACAAGCAGTGTAAATCTAGCCTAAAATAGGAGCTTAGACACTCTTTACATAGTTCATGGAAAGGGCAAGACAATTTAGGACACTTACCTGAAAAGACTGCTCTTCTCCCTTAACTATATTGGAAAACTAATTTTCTTACTGAGACACTTAACTTGTTTACTTTGGAAAGACAAGCTGAGTATCAATCTTTTGTTTGGTTCCTTTGTTTTGTTTTTTTTTTTAAAGCCATGGTTCCACTGGATTTGATATCTAAAGTTTAAAATCAGTCTACCATTGATTCCCTGTTTCCTCTCTCCCTCCTCCTTCTCTATGTAGCCTATCAAATCTTTTTATGGAGAAATTCTGCACCCACCTTTCCTGTTGTTGAATTTATAATCCACAATCTGGTTTACATTTTTTTCCCCTTTTTGTTCTTTAAGTGCCTTTTTAGCCTTTCTTATATGGGTTTTGATTTGGTCCTTCTGTTTCTCAGGTTTCACCTTCCCCATATTTAATTTCTGCTTTTCACTGCCTTTCTGGCTTCTTATTACTTTTTCATATTCCATATTGTTTTATGGCCTACTTGACAGAGATATTAGAATCATTGTTAGTTGAAATAATAGTTTTGGATCCCACAGTCTACCTGTTCTTTTTTGTACTTTAGCACCACTTACTCCAAACACTACCACTGCCATAGCTTCCACTCACCTTCCATTGACAGTGGCTGAAACTGCCTAAACATACGACTTCCTACTCTACGTACTTTCACTACAAGACCTGTCAGTTTTCCTTTTCTCATTTTTCATTTCTACAAATATAAACTTCTACACAGATAGTTCTGTTGAAGATCATATGAAGAGGGAAAAAAATTAATTGTATTGCCTGGTTGTGACTTTAGTTACAATGAGGTACATCTGAAATTTTTTTGCTTGATGTCAACAAAAAGACATCAGTCTAAAGGATGGGTTCCTATTTCTAACTTTTTATACAAAATCAAATTCAAACAGCTGTAGCATTACCACTACATGGATATAACATAACACATATTTTATAAAACTAATTTTAAAAAAAATTCTTATTGCAGATTAATTTCTCATTACAAAGGGCATTTACTAAAATAATAATTTTATGTGATTCCTGGGGAAAAAAAAATTAAAATGAAAAAAAGCAATGAAATTCTATTAGCTAAGCTTCTCAGGAAATAATATATCGTGATTCTTACGCAATTCTAAATAAACAAAAAGAGGGCATCTCTACTGCTTCACAAACGACTGCATTTAATCATTTTCATCATCACCAATAAAATTCCAGTTTATACTTATTTCCTCATTTTACACGTTGTTTACCAAAGTCCTCAATTTCTGCGCTATAAAAATTCAAAAGTGATTCCACACAAAACGAAGAAACCCTCAAGTGGTCAAATGTCTTGTGTGTTCCTTTTTTTCTCCTGTAGAAAACATACCAGTTTTTCTCCAGTCATAACCTCAACATTCCTGAACAGCTTTACTTAAATTACAAAGGTATTTTTAAAATCTATTGACAAAAAGAATGTGTGGCATTATCAATCCAAAATTATACACATTTTTTGAGCTGATAACAAATGGGTTTCAATCATGGCTCCATCTCTCTTGTCACTGGGAAGTTCTTTGTCTACCAAGCATTCCCTAATGTTTTATTAATACTTTCCTGTGTTATAGCTGAAGTTGTTGCATTTTTACCACCCTTGGGAACAGCATTGAAACTAACAACAGATTCTGTAAAATTCTGGAACACTGGCAAAAAAAGGACATTACATGTATTTCTGAAGCATTATAATTAAATTTAAACTTAGGAAACAGTTTCAAATCACAGAGCTATTTAGTGTCATGATGCAATTTGACACAGATTCCCATCACTACGTTTTATTGCAAGACATGTTTAATAGCAAAAATGCATTATGCCAGCCACTGTACAAATGCATATTATAAGTGTCAAATGATGGGAACGGGGAGAGGGGAGAGGAAAAGCACATTCATTTTGTGAGATATTGGTACAGAAGTACATTAAAGGACTTGCTGCTGATTGTAACTCAGGGCAATGGACATGATAACCTAGCATGTCTTCTCCATTTCTATTTTTTATGATTATGTAATGATTCTATCACACCAGGTGATTTTAGCAGAACAGATAATGAACAGTTCATTTTCCTATACCTTATACAAGTTATATTCTGGTGAGTATGTCCTATAGATTCTAAATTCTTTATTTAAGTGAGAAAATCTCATCACTCTACAGTTCAGAATAAAAAAGGATATTTTTGAAACATCGCAAACTTACTTATGTAATTTAATAAATTAGAGCTTTTTTCCTATTGTATATATGTGATATACATAATAGAAAGACTACTTTTTTTTTTTTCCAAGGAAACAATATAACTACCTTTTGCTTAAATTAAAAAATAATAAAAACTCCCACCAAACATATATTCCTTTGAGTGGAGAGCAGTGATATAACGCTGACAGTGGTATGGATAATGCTAATTAAAAAAACCCAAATCAAACAAAAAAACCCCAACTTATCTGAAAACAGGCTATGGGAAAATTTGCTCTCCGTCATAATGAAACTATTGCTACAAATACTTTGTAAAGTACATCAGCCCATCACTGCAACAGTATTTATAGCCTTTATTTCCTATCATGCTGGATAAATGAAAACACATAATACTTTGATTACAAATAAATAATACCTTGATTGTTTAGTAAAGATGTCCCTTTTCAAAATCAGTGCATACAAACCTGAATTTTCTCACTAACCTGTGTAATTTTTGGGGTTTCTTTCGCTGTTCCTCTGCCTTTTCCTTTTTTTTTTTTTTTTCTTTCTCCCAGTATTATTTTGAAAAATAGTAAAAACCTTCTATATATTCTTAGTGATCTAACAAGAACAATGTAATCAGTTATTGCTACTGTTTAAAGTGCTATGATAGCTTTAAAGTACTGAGTTTTCCATTACAAATTATACATCTGAAAAATGTGATGTCTTTTTAAAACATTTTTTTTTTCCTTACCTAAGCCATGCCTATGTGTTGACATTGGTGGTAACACAGTCCAAGCCTTGGTCTTTGGATTGTAACATTCAACAGTGTTTAATGTCTTTAAACCATCCCGGCCTCCAATGACAAACAGCTTGTCATCGATGACAGCAACACCAAACTGAAGCCTCCTGCCATTCATCACTCCAGCCTGGATCCATATATTTGTTCTGAGATCATACTTTTCAATAGTTGTAGCACCTGATAAGACATAATGATAGGGTAATGTATACAAAATGTATACAAAATTGGCATTGGCCAGTGTTAAAAAATTAATATTATTTTCTGATTACTTCCAATATCTTAACAAATATTTTCTGTTTCTTTAGATAAAGTAGTCCCTGGAATATATATCTATGCATGTGTATATATATACACACACACACACATATATAAAATTTTTTCCCTCCCCAAGAAAAGTGAAAAAAAACAACCCCAAAACCAAACTAAATGGTCTCTATAAAATCAAAGTATTGCAAGTCTGGATAACAGTATGCTCTTAACTTTATGATCTTTTCTTACAGTTCAGTGGCATAACTATCTACAACAACTGATCTCGTAACACTTGATTCCAATCTTCCATAAAGTGTAAAAAAAGCCTGTGAAATTACATGATAGTTTCATCAAAGATTAGAAGTTGTATTTTAATTTGGGTTAATATTTTCTTTATTTTAGGTACTCGTGTAGTTTTTTCAGACACTTTTCTACTGGAAGTACAGAATGTTGTATTTACAATCTGAAACAAAATATTTTAAAAATGTTTCCATATACAGTCCAAACCATTTCCTTCTGAACTTAGTAATTTGATTTACTTTCACAGATGAACTCAAAAGCTATAAAGAGCATTCAGTTAATCATTAAAGACATTAAGAAGTCTTTGTTGTTAAAAGTAACTTGTATGGAATATACAAAAATGAAATACAAAATGAAGAGTTTATTAACAAAATGGAATAATTGAGTTCACATGGCAAGGTTCTGGTAGCCAGGGGTCTACAGGGGTGGCTTCTGTGAGAAGCTGCTAGAAGCTTTCCCCGTGTCTGACAGAGCCAAAGGCAGCCGGCTGCTGGCCAAGGCCGAGCCCATAAGTGACAGTGGTAGTGCCTCTGGGGTAACAGAGTTAAGAAGGGAAAAAACATAAGCAACTGCAAACAGAGAGAGGAGTGAGAAGATGTGAGAGGAACAACCCTGCAGACACCAAGGTCAGTGCAGAAGGAGGGGGAGGAGGTGCTCCAGGCACCAGAGCAGAGATTCCCCTGCAGCCTGTGGAGACGACCATGGTGAGGCAGGCTGTCCCCCTGCAGCCCATGGAGGGCCATGGTGAAGCAGATATCCACCTGCAGCCCATGGAGGAGCCCACGCCAGAGCAGGTGGAGGCACCTGAAGGAGGCTGTGACCCCATGGGAAGCCCACGCTGGAGCAAACTCCTGGCAGGACCTGTGGCCCCGTGGAGAGAGGAGCTCATGCTGGAGCAGGTTTGCTGGCAGGACTTGTGACCCCGTGGGGGACCCATGCTGGAGCAGTTTGGTCCTGAAGGACTGCACCCCATGGAAGGGACTCACGCTGGAGCAGTTCGTGAAGGACTGTAGCCTGAGGGAAGGACTCATTTCGGAGGACTGTCTCCTGTGGGAGGGACCCCAGGCTGGAGCAGGGGCAGAGTGTGAAGAGTCCTCCCCCTGAGGAGGAAGGAGCGGCAAAAACCACATGTGATGAACTGACTGTAACCCCCATTCCCCTTCCCCCTGTGCTGCTGAGGGGGAGAAGGGAGAGAAAATCAGGAGTGAAGTTAATACCAGAAGAAGTGAGAAGTGGGGGAAGTGTTTTAAGATTTGTTTGTATTTTCTTATTATGCTACTCTGATTTGATTGGTAATAAATTAAATTAAAATCTAAATTTTAAACATCCCTACAGAAAGAATCAACATAATTATTAAGCTTTACCAACTAACTATTTGGATTGTAATAAAAGGTTAGAATTCCATGGGAAATAATTCTTTTAGGATTCATGCATTCTTTGTAACAGAAGAGCAATGAACCAAGTGGAAACAAACATCATGTACGCAATACTTTTGTTAATTGAACTAAAAAAGATATAATTTAAATTCAATTTGTATCTAAGTGTAGCAGAGCAGCTGCTGTATAATAAGGTACAATTCAACTGGATGTATTAAATCCCCCGCTAGTTTTATGAAGCCATGACATATGAAGCAATTTTTACATTCAATTGAGAGACATATTTATTTATCTTTTTGCCCCTGATTTAAAATTAAGAACTGTGTAAATGCATTAATCTTTAGGTTAGAAAGAACAAAAATACAGATTATTTGATACAACTGTTTGGTGGTGCTGAAGGGCATATTGTAATGATGCATATTAATAAAGTTATGTTATAATGCTTGTAAATTTTTTATATATGAAATCTATTCATGTTTAAAGCTAGAACTGTAGCATATGATTTCTATAACACTGTCTACTTCCATAGTAAAGAGGACAGTTTAAAATCTTTGTCATTCTGATTTCAGGAAATCTTAGTAATGTAACAAATACAGTCTTTGACTTATGCTCAGCTATGTATTTTCTAATATTGGTTAAGTCTGAGTTTGCCACAATGTTTTATTAAATTACATATTAAACATCTAATCCAGCAGTTTCTGGAGTGCCTGAATTCTGTTTATCCAGTAAGGTGCCTTGCTAATCTATAACAACAACAATAACAACAACAACAATAGGAATAGGTACTGGTCCTATAAAATTATCTTAGTATCAAGAACATGAATATAATACATTCCAGATGGCAATACAGACAAGAATAGAAGACCTCTCAAGTTACTGTAGTCCTTGAATGAAATCAGCTCATGGATGAAGAAGAGGTGATTAAATCAGCTAAAATATTACAGATAATTTGTCAATAGGCAGAAGAGCATACTTTTAAGTCTGTTTTGGCTGAATTCTACTGAATGCAGCCCAGTTAGTTCAGTTCCCGGCACTGGAAGGCCCATAGACTCTCCATGGATTCTAAGATTGCATGAAGAAGAATGTGGAAGTGACGTCTTTTTAATTGTAATTGCTGACAGTCTTCCTACAGGAAGAGCTCTAGGCCTACAATTTCTTCTCAGAAATCATTAGTCACTATAGGCTTTTTTAGTACATATCATCGCTGCATGCAGGCCAGCTGTATAATTTCATACCAGTCTTGCACTCTCTAGCCTTTTTACAAAAAACATTGAGTCAAGTTAAAAATCTCATTCCTTGACTTTAGTGACTCTCAGCATGGATGATCATCCTGCAACTTGTAAAGCAAGTAAAACTTACCAGAACATCTCAACCAATCCGCCAGCTGCAGCTGTACACAACAAAGTCTAAACAGAAAACAGCTGTGTAGAAACTATCTACAGTCTCTCCCCCTGTTCCTGCAGTAAACAGAGAAGCAGCTGTGACCTTTGCTTATAGCCCCAACCACAAAATAAAGTAGTATTTCCTGTTCTACACCTGCATACGGGCCTGTCCAAACAAACAAACAATTTTTTTTTTTTAAATGGTGCTATGTCCTCATCATGAAGACAGTCAAGAAAATTGAACAGTTTGTCCATAGAGGTTGGGCAGTCTTCATTGTTGAAGGTTTTCAAGACCCAAATGGATATGGTCTGATCTCATAGCTGACCCTGCTTTGAGAAGGAGGTTGGACTAGAGACCTCCTGAGGCTCCTGCCAACCTGAATTATCCTGTGACTCTGTGATTACACAACCTGGGATGGAGATTGTGGCCATCAGTTTCTTTTCATAGGCATGATTAACTTTCAGTAAGAGAAAACCTCATACGTGATACAGCTTTATTTAGGATTGTGAAATGAAATACTGTGTAAATAAAAGACCCCTGCAACCCTCTTCATCTTCCACTATGTAATATATTTTTCTGCCTTTCTTGTTATTATTATTTACATAAACAACTATCTGTGAAAAATATACATAGTCATGAACTAAAACCTTAATTGCTTGCCAACTTTCACTCTCAACAGAACTACATGAAGTCCTCTGTTTAACTTGAAGAGAGGAAAACTTACCCCACACCTACGATATTAGTACTGTTTTGAACATGCTTTCTCAAATTTAATAGGCTATAAGAATACAAACAAAATGGTTTTAATGAGCATTAAGCCATTCCTAATTCAGGTCATGGGATTACATTTGGTTTAATGACACACAGATCACTATTTCTGATTAGGTACTTGTCATAGATGAAAAACCTCAAAACCTGTAATTAAAGAAAAAAAAACTGTTTTGCCCTAGTGCTGTTCTGTTCTAAATTGTTTTTACTGCAGTGGTTCTGCAGAAGTAATAATTAAACTGGAAAAATCTTTCAAGAAAAAAGTGGTGGAACCACTGAAAGTTATCATCAACAGAGATTTTAGGAAATATTTAATTGGAGATTAATGAGAACAAACATATTTCAATCATACTAAACTTAATCCTACAACATAGGAGATCTGAATACATGAATTTGGATTCCTCTTACAGATCTACAGCCCATGATTCCTTAAATTTACCCTAGATGGAGGCAATGAGAATTATACTAAGTTTGTTTGCATTTTAAGTGTACTTCTTTTTATGAGGTTTAGACTGTTCTTCATTCCCATATGGAATGGAGAAGTACTGGGACAGCTTAGATTAAAAAAGAGAACAACCTTCTACATTTCCTAGGAAGAAAACTGGGTGATTATTTCTGACAATGCAATAGATTCTTTTCTTTAGTTCAACTGATTTGATCTTGAAAGTAAAAGGATTTTCTGCACATAGGAGAGGAGAAGCAGCAAAATCCTGATTAAGACCAACAGGATTTTACTAGACAAATCAGTTTAGCTACTTAAGTGTCAGGTCCTCTGGGTATACAAAATCAATAACATATTGCAATATTGATTTTTCATCCATCATTTATTTTATGGTTTGTATATACTTCAGAAAGAAAGTATTATTACATTGCTAAACGTGAACATCACAAAAATGCCAAGAACTAATTTACTTGTTCTGAAAAAGAGTAAAACCAGAAGCTCTGAAGTATCACTGAAAATTTACAGAGCTTGTCTGCTAAGTGAAGGGCAATGGGACATTCAGGACAACAGGCATAATCTGTATATGAAAATCTTACTTTAAAGACTTTCTGTTAAAGATTGGAGTCTTTATATTAATTTTATTTATATTAAATATTTAA